AAATAATCTACCCCAGACTACTAAAGACGAAATTTAGAATCACATCCATGTGTGCTTACATAGGTCAACTTGTCTTTTAAAGCTGAAGAATAGAACTCTTTCTAAAATTCATCATTGATTTCTGAAATTTTGGCATTACAATATCTTAAAAAAATTGTTTCATTCTGCAAGTTTTAAGACTGTCATCCTCACAATAGGATTAAGTTGTGTGAATGGAGTTTTTTCGCTCTATTTTTTCACTCCTGTCCAGCAATTTGTTTATTTATGTTATATCCCTACTTTTTTTATACTAAATATCTCACAATATGTTCTTGATGACCAATGTCATGAAACTATTTATCTAACTCTAAAAACTGTTAAAATGACACGAACTTTAATGATAGTAATAATCAGATAAAATTGCAAATTTTTTATTGGATCTTCGAGACATCTTTTCTCTGTATGCTTCATATGACAATCAATTTGGGCACATCATTTATTATTTCAGGAAAATCATGCTTAGGCATCTCACATGGTTGTACTCTCTAATATCAAGGCTCTCTGCACATGCAAATCTTTTATTAGCATATGAGAAAATCTTCATTTCTTTTCTTTTAAAACCCACTTCAGTTCGAGTTACCAATTATATCATATTTCTTTAAGGCTTAAAGTAGATTTATACTACTAAACTTAATTCTTAAAAACTCAAGCACCTCAAGATTATCTTTTCATCAAAAGAAAATGTCATTATGATTGTAAACAGAGCCGGTCCCTAGAAAATGGAGGCTTTGTGAAACAATAAAATTTGGACCTATTTTTCAAGTTGGAACACAAGTAAATTGAGTTTAAATTAAAATTCAGTTCAATTTTAGGATGAAATCATGAAAGACTATACTAGTATAATTATAATTTATGAACCTCAAGTTACCTAATAATATATTTACACCACTTTCTTAAATTTTACATAGTAGTTGCTAAACAGATTTACACAATTTTTTCCCAAAAAGAAAAACACATTTATACATTTATTATCAATTCAAAAAGTTATTTACTTTAACTGCAAAAAATTAACAAATAACAAAAATGCAACAATTCAACATACATGAAAACCGAAAATCTAAAAATAAACAAATTAGAACAATTCAACAATTCAACAACCAATTTAACAATTCAATAATTCACAATAATTAGCAAACTAAACAAATTGGAAAAGCTGAAAATCAGAAACTGACCGGACTGTGGTGCAGTGAAGGCGGACTGACGGAGAGCAGTGGGCGGCGCGGTGGACGGTGGAGGGCCTGGCGGCCTGGTGCTGGGCGCTGGAGCTTGGTGGCGTTCAGTCGGTGTTCAGCCGCTTGTGCGAGGCTTCATTGGTCCTCCTTCGTTGGTCTGTCGTTCCAGTCTCCAAGCGGTTTTCTGATTCCTCGTTCCAATTGCTGAATTGCGAAGGTCTGGGTCGCGGATGGTTTGAACTTTGAAGTTAGGCGATAAAAGGTTCGTAAATTTGGGCTGAACTAATACTACTCCGTAATAATTTTTGTGGGCCTTTCAAAATTTTAGGCCGTGTGGGATTGGATTGGACGCCCATGCCCTGGATCGGCCCTGATTGTAAGCCCTCTTGGACCGGAATATAACTTAACTGATTAGTATACCGCAATAGTCATGAAGCTAAATATAGTTAGATTTTAATTTCATTACAAAATTTTATAAGCATGAATCAAGGTAAGGATATTTTGGGTATTAAAAATTTGTTGGTGGTACATCATAGCTTAATAATCGTGTACTGTGTGCTTGAGTCAATGTACTTTATCTTCTACTTTGCTCATCAGTATACGTCTATCCGTCTAACTACCGTCCTCGTTATCGTTAGTGAAACCTGTGACTCTTCAATCTCGATTATCCCTTTCAATTCCACAACATGCTTACGCGATAACAATCCCAGCCGAGCATCAACAAAGAAACGCCACCTTCACCGTCAACAAAGAAACACCATTCAGATCCCCCTGCGATACGTCTATTCACCGGAAATAATTTTTGGAATTGAGTTTAAAGCGGTTCGGGGCCATTACGGATTGTCACTCTTTGGTGCCACTCTTTCGCCCAGGATGTAACATCTTATATATTAATAAGATGTTACACAAAATTATCTATTTTTTATATCACTAGGTCATTTCCGAAATTTGTGCATCAACATCCTATGTGAACTTAACATATAACAACGGTTTTAAACTCCCACAACCATATAATCCAAGCTACATTTTTGCGAACATTCACTCAATATACTTGAGCATATACAACTTCATAGTAATATAGGAGCTCGATCGCCACTTTTCCCATATGTAGCCACATGTTGTACTAAACTTGATTTGTTTTGCATTCCTTCCCATTAGTAAACATTTTGATATTTTCAGCAACACACAAATCATAGCTATCCCTGCATATTTAAAACACATTTTAGTGTTATTTATGTATCAACAAATACTAATGTTCTACTTACTGAATATCAAATTAATTTCATTGCAATTAACTTATTATTTCGTTGGGGAAAATTGTAGGCAAAATACACTTCCGATTTTCCTTCTCCAAGTAATCCATTAGCGAGCTAAGTGAATCTGCATAAACAATACACAATGTCTATTTTCTAACACTTCCATCACTGCCCTATATTCAATGACTTGAATACATACTTTCTTTTAATGCATTACTTCAATGCATATCACAACACAAAATTTAACCATGATGTTTATTTTCTTCTTAAATCCAATGCATTAAATAAGGTAATTAAATGCAAGTATGATATTAATCCATTATTTATCGTGACCATACATCAAATAATAGTTTCACAACTAAAAGTGCATAAATTTTTCATTGCACAACTGCACCTTCAGACACTTTTCATTGCACAACTGCAACAAGCACACTGATAGCATATGAATTGAGCTCCAAACCCAACCTGAGTTACGGCAATCTCATATGTATTCTACGGTAAAATGATAAATACGCCTAAATTAAGCAACATCTACGGCTTCCCTTTCGAATACACAAATTATTGGAATAACATCTAAATATATAGAATGGAAAATAAAGTAAAATACACACCATGCCATTGACGACAATAATTTCATCCTTGTATGTCCGTACTAGCCATCCCGACGACGCTCACTACTTTGGTCTTCCCTCTTCTTCTTGCAATTTTCAATATTCCTCTATTGCTCTTGAAGTTGCTCTATCATTTCCGTCATTTGCTTTGTTTACAGAAGAATGGTATTGATATGTTAGGGTTAATTTGATTTTGGGTCATTTCCTTCCTTAATTATACTCCTTAAAATCGGCCTCATCAAGTTTTCTCAATCTTCAACCTAGGGGTGGACTCGGGCCGAGCGGCCCGACCCGGTTACTGTTTGGCCCGGCCCGGGGCCCGGTGGGTCCATCGGTTCGGTTTGGCCCGGCCCGGGTGATGGGCGGTCCGGGATCGGGCCCTGCTTTAGGTGAACCGGCCCGGCCGGTTCGGGCCCGGTCCGGTCCGGATTTTATTTTTTATTTTTTTTTGAAATTTTTTTATGTTTTGGGTTTGATTAGGTATTTTGGGCCATTTGAGGTGGTTTGGGAGGGGTAGGGGGTTAAATAGGAGAACCAAAATAAAAAAAATGGACCGGTTTGGCCCGGCCCAGCCCGGCCCGGTTTGGCCCGAAACCGGAACTGGCCACCGGCGGTTCGGGCTCGGGCCCCAGTTTTCTGGCCCGAGGCCCGGCCGGGCCCAGGCCCGAACCGGGCCCGAACCGGCCCGGGTCCACCCCTACTTCAACCGTTACACCTGTGATGCACGTGTTTTAAATTGAGGTTATTTGGGTCATTCACTATCTATAGTATTACGTTAATCCTTTTTTAAAAAGTTTAGTAGTCATACGGAAGTAAAAAACTACTATGGTCATATTTCAGGAATTCTAATGATATTTTTCCCTTCATGTATATCTGATCTTATGGTTAAGTTGTTTTTATTCAGGAGTATGATCGGTTTTTGCCCACTCCATTATTTGTTAATTTATTCTTTTGAAATAAAATATTGGCAGTCTATAAAATAATTAAATGAATTAAAACTTCATTTAACTAATACTACGTATGTACTTGCTGAAGATCAAACATGAATTACTTGAATCTTCAGACCTAATGCAATATGAATTAAAATCAAGATGTGGAATGAAGAATAACGTACGTGCAGTGGTAGGCACATCACACCCTATTTAATACTCCACAGTACATACATTCCCTATCTCCTCCCTTCAATTCTAATTAGTCAAACTTGATTTTTTAAGTCAATGACATTTAATTATGACCGACTATGTATTTATATAGAGAGTTTTGATAATTTAAAAATGATATAAAAATATATTTTTGCAATCTTTGATAATTTTTGCAATCGAAGTTTACAATCTTTAATTGGAAAATTCAAAGATGACCTACTAAAATGGGACATTACAATTTTTTATATCATCATATGCAATTTTTTAAAAAAAAAAATATACTATCGTACGTAGTATTATTGGTTAACGTGTAACTTCAATTACCATAAATCCAAAGATAGACAAATTTAAGGGATGGAGGAAGTATGATTTTAATGAATAATATGCAGACTTACATGGATAATTTATAGGCACTCGATGTTTACATGACTTAAATTCGGCTTTTCAGATCCCCAAAAGCTTTAGAACGTGCTAACCAAAATGATTGATTAAATAGGATTGATTATAAATTGGTTGTTAAATACTCCGTAGTTAGAAGTAGTGCATGGCCGCATGGGTGCATAATCGTGCAATAATATGACAAAAATGTGGCTTTTGTGGTTTCCAGGCATGCTAAAGAACCTAACGTGGGATCGAAAGATGACTGGAGTAGCACAATAAATTAATTATATTGTTAAATACTTTGAAGTATTTAGGCGTTGGAGAATGGAGATTTCGTAAAAAACTTCCCAGATGGAATATATAACGCAAATGGTTAAACAACTGAGTAAATATTGTTTTCTCCATATGCCAGAGCTATGAGATCTTTCGTATAATATATTTCTAGCATTTTTTATCATCAAAACAGGACTATTCATGATCGTTACATCAAGCAAAGGGAAAATAAAACTGACACCAACTGAAACTCCAACAAATACGACTGTAACCCTATGGTGAGACTTTGATACGGTCACCCCTGAGAGAGCAACACGAATCGCTAACCATGTAGTAGGTTTGACACAGCCAAACATGTTCCCATAGATCCAACCATACCCAATGACATAAAGAGAGACAAAAAACTCAAACAAACTATCAAAACAAACAACAAAAATGGACACAAGAAAACAAATAACAAACAAATAAAAACTACAAGAAAAACATTCACAAACTCTAGCACCTCGTACATCCCATGGTGGTGGTTCAGGAGGAGGTCGTACCACCGGTACCATGCTAATTGATCATCCATGACCTTTGGCTGCCAAAGACCATGCATAACCAAACTCATCCCTACTCTGTGCGACCAGAGTAAGCGGATAGGCGGCGCCGATCTTCTCCAACAACAGCAACGTCACATCCTCGAACCTTGACCACAACGCCGATCTCCTCGAGCCATGAAAGCAAATCCGCCCTCCTCCACCGATCTCCGCCCTCCGCGTCTGACCTGGACTCCAGCCGAGCACCAGCGACCAAGGGATAGCAAAGCCGATCTTCGACAAAGTCGAAATCGGAAAAAGGCTCCAGCGGCCGACATAGTTGAAGCCCTAGAGAGAAAACACCTAAATCTCTGACTTAGTAAGCCAAGATAATGCATGAAGGTGGAGCCTCATCCCACTTCGATATAAATTCTCCAATAAAAAATGAAAAGCTCAAATGATAAACTAGCAATTGCAGAAAGCCAGCACTGCCGCACGAACTCAATCGGCGGATGAGAAACCCTACATAGCGTAGAGAGTTTCAAGTATTTTTTTGCTTCATTTGAAATTCGATATAATATATTTCTAGCATTAAAAAAATGTAAAATAACTAGATTTGTTAATGTAGATACTTTAAAGGAAAACTAGTCTTTTACCCGTGCGTTGCACGGGGAACAACCTATTACAAAGTTAATTGAAATCATCCGGATACGTGAAGCTTATATGAAGTAAAATTAGAAATATTAGCAAACATGAAACATACACAAAAGTTCATATATCGAACGGGATATTTTAAGTACACTTGAAAGTTGAAACTTATTTCAGGAGTTAAATACTACAAATGATGTCTCTCTATTTAGAATACACATCATTCTTTTGCCATACACTTGAGTTTATGAGGTAAAAATATTGCTCAATAAAGATGCAATTGATAGTTATCCATTAAGCGACATGGATTAGTAAAAACATTGCTTTTTTTTGGAGAAATTTCTCGTCTTATTTAAAATTTAAAAGTTAGATTAGTAGGTACTAACAATTATATGCATTAGCCATTAGGAATCCGAAACATCTCATGAGTTAAAGGTTTTACATGGAGTCATGGAGGAAATGATATGTAAATACTTCTTAGGAATGGTGATCACATGCTTACACACTTCACCATTTCCAGAAAACATTGGAACCGCACTTGTGTTTATCCTTACCTTCACATTCCAATTCCAAGTCATCAGTGATGGATGCTACTTTCTTTTGTTTGGCAAGGTCTTGGCAGCCAGTGAAATTTTCAGGGAAATTGCATGTTCCAAACTGAACAATATAGGCTCCGGCAAAGTTAGCACCGCTTGTGGCCAGTCTTTTCTTGTCATTCAACTCCTTGTAGACTTTGCTTTTTTCACTGATTTTGCAAACCAATTTGTCACACTGAAAAATGCAGGGAATGAACATCGTACACACATCATATAGATTAAATATCATTAAGTTATAAACTTTTGACTAAATTATACTATACAAAAAAGTGAACTATACACATCAATGTGAGTATATACACAAACAGAGAGATAGATACGTAGTTTATAAACGTCCTTCATTCAAATAAAATGGTGGGATGTTCCCTTGCTCCCACCCAAACCTCTTCAGGAGTTTGGTTCATTACCAGGACTAAAAAAACATAGTTTAAAAACGATTTTTTAGGTTCTAATGAACCATGCTCAAGAAACAATTTAAATGTTAACATGAAATAATTGTACACAGGGAAAAGATTTTCAGAAAATGGTGTGAGCAACTTTTTATTTAGTACTGTGTTGAATTATAGAGTTACCACATCACCCAGACTTCATAAAAGAAAACTACATTTAATTCAGATAACTGAGTAAATAATAAAAGAGTACTCTTTTTGAAGGATTTAGCTTAGTGAAAAGATGGGGATATATGCAAACTCACTGACATCAATTTCTTTGAATTATGCTTACTTAAAGCAAACTATAAAGCATAAACAAATCCCGTTAAGTTAAACTCTAGGCATTGAATCCTTTGAAGTTGGTAAAAGGATGTGTGTCTGGCCATATTTTTGCAGTCAAAGAAAAAAGAGTGGCACATTCATGAGCATTTAAATTAGTATGAGGATTCATAGATAGTGGAAAAGGATATATAAAAAGGAATCAGGAATTAAGTTTTTGAAACAATTTAAGTAATTGGACACCAAACAGAGTAATAAGCCATTAGCCATCCAAAGGATAGCTACCAAACAAAATACTTCGTATATCAAAGCAATCTTTCATCCATAAACCACATTTGTTAAGGTGAAAAAAAAGATACCTGGTTAGTTGAATTATAGAGTTATCACATCACCCAAACTTCATAAAAGACAACTACATTGAATCACAAAAATAAAGGTCATACCTTGGAACTAAAGATGACTTAATTAAGTACTAATAAGAAAGTTGTCCTTGTTTGGATGTATCACTTATTTCAAATTACCCTTAATGATTTTGGCATTATAGAGATATCCTTAACAATACTTTTAAGAATAATTTAATAATACTATTCTGCTTCATTTAAACTGAGATGTGGATTTGGACATTTTGTATGGTTTAGCTATTCGGAAGGTGTTAAAAATACAATTTTGTTCAGTTTCACTCTTCTGTGATCTCTCAGTATCCCTCTCGCTTTTAATCTTCAACTTATTTGCAACCTCTCTTTGGTCAATGTAGAAGCAAGTAACTGGTATGTCACCCTCATCTCAAATTTATTGCTACTTTCATTAATGGGAATGATTTTCATGGTATGCCTTTGGTTTGACATTATTTTTAGAGGAAGCATCAAAAGAAAGCATATTAGGATGCCAGCCCAAGGAATAAAGTTCAAAGGAAAACTAAAAATAAGAAGAAGAATTGAAAGTAAAAAACAATAAGAAGTAAAATACAGATCAAAGCCATCTTTACTCGCTTTGAAGTAAAAAACAATAAGAAGAAGAATTGAAAGTAAAGATATAAGAACAAAAGACAAATAATAAAGATGATTTAGTAGACAAAGATCATGAGTTATTCTGAGTGTTTTGGTATTAATCAGACGATTTTAGCTTATAACTGGCGGATATGAATAAAATTAGGTAGAGTGATGGATATGAGATTGGCAATACTCTCATACAAATACACCATAAAGATGCACATGAAAATCAACCTGCGGAAAACTATTAGCTTTATCGACTTTTTCGGCGTGAGGAGTTACATGTTCTTGAGCAAACTGAGCAACACTTTCTTTGAATTGAAATCAGGAAAGGAAAAAAGTAAATATAAATAAAAGCTTCCATTAAAGCAACAAACGCTATAATCAGAGAGAAATTGATGCAGAAATGACCTGTATCTGAGTATCATCAAAGAGCAGAGAAGTAAAGAAAGGAGTGTAAGCATTCTGCGAGAGCCAGAGCCCTGATTTGTGAAGTCTCAAGACTAAGCGGGTGGCGGGTGAATAAGCGAGACTGCGAGAACCCTAATTTCTGTATAGCTGAATTTACGTAAATGTCCTCCTGTCTTGAGCGGGAAAGAGACTTAAGTGGATTAATATATATATAGATTTCCCGAATTGGAGTAAAAGGAGTTTAAATATTCCAAAATATGACTGTTATCTTTTTTGGCAAAAGTTAATTGTGATATTTTTAGAAAGTTTTAACCGGTAAAAGTACAAGTGAAAAGTCACCCATACCACATGAATATAATGATTTGACTTTGTCACACGTGAAATTACCTTTTAAATCTCAAGGAAGACGTTGTCCTTTCTGCCTTTCATTTTCTCATATGTAATAACGATTGACTAGAGTGAAGGAAATCTACATTCAAAAATGATCTATTTTCAATAATGTATGTATGTTTTTATGAGGCCCTACGTACGATATTGAGATAAAATGCATGTGTTTCATCATTTGTAAAAACTTTGTTTAATTTGATGGAATTTTGTATGAAGTGGTACGGTTGAATTTGCTCATCTATTGAAAAAATAGTAAAATGTTCTTTACAATAACTTCAGTCATTTCGAACAAAAAATACTTTCAATTTACTTATTTTGATTACTACAAAATTTATAGTGCAAAATCAAAAGTTATGTATTTATTTGTCTAAAAAATAACTTATAATGCTCATAAGTTGACATTAGGGATTACTAATAAATGAGCTCTTTGAATTTTATGGTTTGTGGTACTTTGTATTCTTTATCAATTTGAACTTTTGTTGTATATAATAGACTACAGTTATGTTAACTTTAAATTCTAAACAGTTCGGGAAACCCGTTGAAACAGTGAAATAATATCTCGTGCATCGCACATGTACTATACTAGTCATAATTAAGTATGGGTTGTGCTATGTACGAACTTATTAAGGATGACAATGGGGTGGGGAAGGGTGAGATATTTATACTCCGCTAAAATATGGGGCGGGGGATGGGGATTACTACACTCGCCCCATCCCCGCCCCATCCCTGTTATAAATATATACCCAAACATACACACACATATATACATATATTAATAATGTATAAAACATATCTAATTAAATTATAGGTAGTATATAGCACACATACACTGATACACATACATATAGACATGCATACATGTATGTTTATTAGTCACGATTAATGAACTAATAGTACATACATATTATATTAGAATAATAATAAGTAATGATAAAAAAAAATCATAAATGATATATGCGTTTAGGGGACTTGTGACGTATCACAAGCAAATAAGAAATGATTTTGCACAAGAGAAATGTTAAATGTTTAGATTTGATTGAATGCGAATTGGGCATCAACCTAGCATTTATGTTTTGGACACTCCAAGAGTGTTGATACCAAGTATTCCAGTTATTGAGACTGATTTGAAACTAGCACTAAGCGGTCATACCTAGGGGTGGGCAAAAATACCGAAATATCGGTATACCGCACTTACCGTACCGAAAAATACCGGAAAATACCGAAATATTGGTATACCGTCATTTTCGGTACGGTATCATACCGTACCAGTCTATTTCGGTACGGTAACGGTACATGTTTTCAAATACCGCGGTATACCGGTATAATACCGTACCGACTCCCTACTCAACAATTACTTTTAATTCTAATATATTGTAGAAATCCATTACAATTTTGAAGCCCAAAATTAATATTTAAGTTGGTTACAAATACAAAAATACAAAAATAAAGGTTCAATTTCTCAAACCCACTATAACCTTATAGGCTTCTACTACGCTAATCTTAAATAACTAATGAGTAATGTACAAATGTCAAGAAACATGTCCATCTTGCTCCAAGAGCTTGCAAGTCGTGATGGTTGGGCCGCTAAGTAGCTGACGAGTGAAGATATATACACTTATGTGACAAGTGTATCTACATAGGGATTCAGCGAGTCGAGACACACAACTTTGTCCGAAAGTCTTATTCAATTTTTAAAAAATTATGAATGATTTTATATCCATGTTGTTTGAATAGTTTTATTTATTTTTGTTAGAGATCACTATTGATTTAATTATATCTATATTGTTCAATTTTTTTTAGGAGAATGTGTTACTTTTTAATATGTGGTATGTTGAACTGCTTAAATATACTAATAATAATTATTGTTCAATATTGAATTGACATCAATAGATTATTAATTGTATTTCGTAACATTTTAATAATAGATTTAATATGTTGCTAGTAATAACGATTTAGTATATTTCGTTAGTCTATGATAATTTTTTGTATTGGGAGACATGCACGGTAATTTACCGATACCGTACCGTTACCGAACCGAAACTTCGGTATACCGAAATGCGGTATACCGAAACTTCGGTAAGGTAAAGGTATGCAAATTTTGCATACCGAAAGTTTTGGTATGACAAAGGTATGAGAAAAAATATAAGGTATACCGTACCGAACCACCCCTAGTCATACCTCTTTCGAAGTAACAATATCTATTTTGTTATTGTTGTTTGTTTTGTTCTTTTACATTTAATTTGGATATTAGAAATAAGTGGTCATGTGATGAGACAAATTCAGATTGCATAGGTGATGGAAACAAAATTCAAATTGCAGAAATTCCGGTCTCCACTAGCACTAGCATAATAGTTATAAGGAGAAAAAATCATGATTTCCTAAGCAAGGGCAGACCTAAGAGCTGGTTTGTGAATCTATAGTTTTTAAAGGCACGCGATGGATAGAGAGGGCATTGTACTTCTATTCATCAAATTTGGTGTTCCTTTTTATGTATAAAAAACCTTGCTATATTTTAACGTCTCTTTTTCCATTATGTAAATGTAGATATTATGGTCAAATTTGATGTTCTTTTTTAGTCCATAAAAAGGCGTTTACTGTATATTCTTGATTCAAAACATAAAAAAGAACTCCTCTTTTTACTGCATTAATATGACTCTTTATTAACACCTCTTAAATGGCGTGTCTATTCTTGATAAGTAAAAGTACAGTGCCCTCTCTACCATCCTTTGGCTTTAAAAATTTGGTGTTCTTGTCTAGAGCTCAAGATTCACAAACTAGCTCCAAGTTCTGCCCTGTTTATTATGGTCAAATTTGGTGGTCTTGTATAGAGACTACAAAATGCAAGCAAGGCAAATAATGAAGTACATATTGTAGTCAATTTTCAATCCTTTTTTGTTGGAGGCTAAATGCACGGGTATCTCACCCAAAGTGAATACTTTATTGTTTATGATTCTTTATCAATAAACACCAAACTACGTATTCAAATATTGTATTTATATATTCTCTCAACCTAAACTGATGAATTAATGTCCTATAATGGCTTTGGGCATTACTACAAACGCGCAACACGCGTGACTAAAATAATAGTATAATAATGCCTAATGTCCAGACTAAAGAAAGTTAGCGTAGTAGCTAACTGTTTTGAGTGTTTTCAGTGCTTCTTCTCCTCCCTCAGGTCATGTGTTCAATTCTCCCCAGCTCCAATTACCCCTTTGCTTTATTTTTTTGCCCTTTTACAATTGTAAAATTGTTTAAAATTTGTTCAAATCTAAAATTCCCATTAATTCTTTTAATGTAGCTAAAAGGTGATACTATGTATGTCAACTCAAAATGATACTAGACGATATAAAAAAACTCAAAATGATACTCCGTACTATGTATGTAATTTTAATAACATCTTCTTATATATAAATTTCGTTTTGTACTTAATAAACTATAGAATGTCTTAACCTAAGATCCATATATATATTAATTTAAAATAATTTATTTTAATGTAATTTCAATCACACCTTTTCGCACTTAGTATTAAATTTGACTTGCTTATTTGTAACTTAAATTAGTTATAAACTTATAATTAAATATTTTTTCTATTTCTTAAAAAAGTTATTTTATTTTTAATACATTGTGGATTTTCTAATTAATATTTCTTTCCTAAAAATTTATTTTTAATACATTGTAGATTTTCTAATTAATATTTCTTTCCTAAAAATTGTGTGATAACGTTAGTGTAAATTTTTCCCTGCTGACCGAATTTTCTGGATACACCACTGGTTGTACACATAATTTGTACACCTTTTGTGCATCCCTTAATTGTGTGTTCATAAGACATTTTTCAACGAATTGTTTGTGTAGATAAATATCTAGTAGTTGTACACAAGATGTGTGGAAAATATGTATACCAATAGTATTTGTGATTCTAGACTTCTAGTATGTGTTATATAAATTTCAAATACGGAGTATGTTTTATTTGGATATAATTCGAACCTATAGCATCTTGATTAGGAAAATTATAGTAATGTCATTAAATGATAAAAAGGCATAATGCAATGTTAAGTTAAAGTGAAGGATGGAGACATCCTAAAAAATAATGGCCATATTCTGCAAAAAAAAAAAAAAAGTGCATGCGTAGATGTCGTTAAATAGAAGAGGTAAGAACAATATTTATTCATCAATGGACAGTGGTGTATAATCAAATTTTATCAATCTAGTACTTCAAATTTAGATATACTATCAATAATCAATAATGGAATTAAAAGACAAAATTTAGTGATATAGAGTTCGAAAGATCGAATCCGTTGTTGCTTTTTTTAATGATTTCTCATTAGTTTTTTAAAATTTCAATTTTTTTAGTTTAATAAGATTAAATAATATTAGATTTTTTAAAATAAAGAGATATGAAAATTCATGAAAGCTTAGGTCTTTGATTGATAGTTTTTGATGTTCTTATGTAGTTATAACGACATATTTTATCTTTCAAGTCCTTTAAAGATAGTGTACTCATGTTTTAAGTCCCAAATTTATATAATTCCTACATAATAATTTTATATCATTTTACTCCATATTATACAAATTTTGGTATACAAAGATATCGTGGATCAAAGTTTAATATCACCAAAAATATCAAAGATGATGATTGTATTCACCTCGTTGGAGAAGGCTCCCTACACATCAACAGACAACAGACAACAGTTGATGAAAAATTGCAAATTGGAAGGGCAATGATAGCAGCCCAGCAGGAGCCTGTCTTTTGTTTTGAATTGTTTTTTTTTTTCTGCCTGGGCAGCTGGGCCTTTCTGAATGGATCAGTTTA